GAAACAAAGACGATTCTTTGATAAGTTCAATATAATAGATAATCAAGCCTGACTGATCAGAAATAAAAAAGAAATTAAAAAGAAATTACTAATATCAGGAATAAGAGAGGTGTCATTACTATAGATACCACAGATATTAGTGGGCTAATAAACATACATTGTGAATAACTGTATACCAATAAACTTCATAACTTAAATAAAATGCAGCAGTTCTTTGAAAGACACAAACTACCAAAGTTTGTGCAAGAAAAAATTAATAGCATGAATAGTCCAATACCTATTAAAGAAATTGAAAATGTAGTTTGAAAGTTGCCCACAAAGAAAACTGTAGACTCAGATGGCATCACTGATAAATTCTAGCAAATATTTAAGCAGGAAATGATAACAATCCCATGCAAAATCTTCCAAAAAAAAAAAAAAAAAAAACCAAAGAGAAGGAAATATTTCCCAATTCATTGTATCAAGCCGTCATTAAGCAGATATCAAAACCAAGATATTACAAGAAAAGAAAAGTACAGGCCAATATTCATCTTAAATGTAGATGCAAAAATTCTAAGTCCCATTCTAGCAAACCCAATCCATTATATACTAAAAGAACTATAAACACCTTTTAAAAAGAAGAACGAAGTGCACACAAGATTCTCTAAGATACATTACATGTTAGGCTGCAAGACGAGTCTTAATAACTTTAAGAAGACCATAAACATATCAAGTATCTTTTCTGACCAAAATGGTATAAAACTAGGAATCAATAACAGGAGGAAAAGTGGAGAGTTCACAAACAGCTGGAAATTAAACAACATCCTTCTGAACAAATAATGGGTCAAGAAAGAAAACATAAGGGAAATAAAAAATATGTGGATGATGCCAGAGGGGAGGGTCTGGGGAGGCCCAGTAGCTGGCCTCAACCCAATCCATCCTCTAACCAGGTTCTTGACTCCAGCACAGGAAAGAATTCAAGAGCAGAGTCACAGTGGAAAGTGAGAACGGGTTCAGTGTACAAATAGGAGATACAGCTTTCAGAGAGAGAGGGTGCAGCCTAGCTCTAGACACTGAGAAGGGCTCATGGCAAGTTTAATACAAAATTAAGAAATACACACTTAAAGTATAGCACAGAGTGCAGGCTGACTCAAGTGAGCAGCCTCTTGCCGAAAGCAAGTTTGATACAAAGTAAAGTATACAGACCTCAGCTGGTGAAGTGCAGGTTGGTCCCAGGACAGTGGACGACAACCCTGCCTCCTGTCTGGATTCCACTTTTATAATTTCACTATCTAAAACATATCCATGCTATCTAATGAATATTCAACTAAGGGGGTGGTTCCCAGTTAGGTTCCCAGTCTTGCACGTGATCAGTTGGTCTCCTTTCTGGGCATTTTCATTGGTCAAATTCTATCACATGCACTAGACATATTCAAGAATATTCTATGCTCTTTAGCACCTCTAATGGAAGGTCATTCTAAGGATAAACTCTACTGAGCATGCTTGGCTATTAGGTTCTATAACTCCTTTCTACTGAGCATGCTCAGCCACTGGGTTTGCATAAGTCAGCTCCCTGATGTCTCAGTTTCCCCATTCTGGTGCTGAGAATAGATCCAATAAGCAACAGTAACTCTCCTCTAGGAAGGTCCTAGGTGAAGGGCTTGAGACCTTGGGGAGTGGCTTGAAACCCAGCGGTCTGTCTTGTATCCAGCAATCTGTCAATGGACATTTACGTTGGTACCAAATCTTGGCTATAGTAAATAGAGTTGCAATAAACATGGGAATGCAGGTATCCTTTAGACTTGATGATTTCCATTCCTTTGAGTATAAACCCAGCAGTGGGATTGTGGATCATATGGCAGTTCCATCTGTAGTTGTTTCTGGAACCTCCATATTGTTCCATGATGGCTGTGCTAATTTACAGTCCCACCAGCAGGAGCGTAGGAGGATTCCCCTTTCTCTACATCCTCGCCAGCATTTGTTATACTGTCTTTTTGATACTGTCCAGTCTGACTAGAATGAGATGATATCTCAGTGTGGTTTTGATTTACATTTCCCTCGTGGTTAGTGATGTTGAGCATTTTTTCATGTGTCTATTGGCCATTTTTAAATCTTTCTTGGAGAAATTCCTATTCAGCTTCTTTGACCAGTTTTAAAGGGTCTGGTCTGTTATCTCAGTTAGTTAGAGCACAGCCTTGTAACACCAAGGGCAAGGATTTGAATGCAAGGGTTTGGCCACATACACACCCCCCCCAAAATATGGCCAATTAACCTTTGAGAAATGTCCTGAGAACACGCAATGGGGAAAGGAAAGTCTGTTTAATAAATGGTTTTGGGAAACTGGATATTCACATGCAGGACAACGAAATTGAACTCCTATCTCATATCATATGCAAAAATCAACCCAAATTTGATAAAAGACTTGAAACTAAAATTACTAGAAAAAACAAGGAAAACACTTCTGGATGTTGGTCTTGGCAATAATGTTTTGAATGTAACCACTAAAGCACAGGTGACAAAAGCAAAAGTAAACACTGGGATTACATTAAACTGAAAATCTTCTGCATAGCAAAGGAAATAATCAGCAGAGCAAAGAGACAAACCACAGAATGGAAGAAAATATTTGCAAATCATATATATGATCAGGGGTTAATGTGCAAAATACATAAGAAATTCAAACAACTCAATAGCAAAAAACAAATAACCCAATTAAAAAGGATGAAGGATCTCAATAGACATTTATCAAAAGAAGACAAATCAGATTATGTCACAGAAACACAAGACCAAGATAATGAGCCTGATTCAGTTTAACTGTGAAGATGACATACAACTCTCCATTTTTGGAAGGGTACTGGAGATGACTGGGTCTGTTTAGGTATCATCCATTCCATATTCAGACGAATTTTAAAAATGGAACAGCTGTTAAGTATGGAGTTAAGTCTGCCAAGGTGTAAGTTTGCAGCTAAAGACAGACAAAGGTGAAATGCTGCAAACAACTGAAATTTTTATGTAGTTACAAATGAAATTCTGCTATTTTCAGCAACATGGATGAGTCTGGAAAAAATTATGTTAAGTGAAATAAGCCAGACAAAGAAACAGACACACCACGTGTTCTCACTCTTAACTGGGTGCTAGGAAGGAAGGGAGAGAGGGAGAGAGGGAAGGAGGACAGAAGGAGGGAAAAGGAAGGAATGAAGGAAAAAAAGAAAGAAAAGACCACAGCAATACACTGAGCTTTCAGAAGGAGAAAACAAACCTAAGGATGCTAGAGGTGGGGGGAGGGAAGGAGGGGGTTGAGAAGTGATAGGTCGGGTAAAGGGCATAAAGAAATATCACGATTTGCAAGAATGAATATGCTAATAATAAATTTAATTTTTTTAAAATTTTATGTAGTTACAACTTTCTGTGTGTTTTGTTGTTGTTTTGTTTGTTTTTCAGTTCATAGCCTATTTCTCAAGATAACACAGAAATCCGTACAATCACACTACTGAATGTAGATTCTACTCTTGCTCTACATAGACCCTTAGGAGATGAGCACAGATGCCTTCAGCTACAAGGCATGGGAGGGTTCTCCCATTTTTCTCTAGAAGACAAAGGAGACAGTGAAGCAGGTGGAGTCTCTAGAGGTCTTGAAGATGTGTTGCAACAGGCAGAAGAACTGTGAGTTCAAAATCAAACAAGTTAGATATATCGACACGTTTGTTCACGGCTCCTGAGAAATGGGCATGGGTCGTACTTGCATTCTCTTGAACTGAATATACAATTTTAGTACTTCCACACAATTTCTGCTTTTGGAGTGTTTTATTTTTTCCATTTTAAACTGTGCACGTTAGAGACTGTAAATTGGTACAGCCAATATGAAAAATAATATAAAGTTTCCTACAAAAATTGAAAGTAGAACTATCATATAATCTACCAATCCCACTTTTGGGTTTATATCCAAAGAAAACGAAATCAGTATCTTGAAGAGATATCTGCACTGCCATGTTTATTGCAGCATGACTCACAATAACCAACATATGAAATCCACCAAAGTGTCCATTGGTGGATGAATATATAAAGAAAATGTGTTTTATATATAGATACAATGAAATATTATTCAACCTTTAAAAAGAAGGAAAATCTGTCATTTGTGAAAAGGGTGAACCTGGAGGACATTATGCTAAATGAAATAAGCCAGACATAGAAAGACAAAACTGCATGATCTCATTTATATGTAGAATCTAAAAAAGTTGAACTCATAGAAGCAGAGAAGAGTAGAATGTGGTTGCCAGGGCCCAAGGGTTGGGGGAAATGGGGAGTTGTTGGTTAAAAGGTACAAAGTTTCAGTTAGATAGAATCTAATGCACAGCACGGTGGCTGTAGTTAATAATACTGTATTGTACGCTTGCTCAGAGGGTAGATCTTAAGTGTTCTCACCACAAACACACACACATGCACACACACACACATGCACGCAGAGCAACTGAGGTGATGAATATGTTAATTAACTTTGTGGTAATCAGTTCACAATGCATTCCTATATCAAGTCATCACATTGTATACCTTCAATATATTCAATTTTTATTATCAAGTATTTCTTAATATAGCTGGAAAAAAAGAAACTACAAACAGCAGAAACTACACACAAGACAAAAACATAAAGTCATGAACCTACCAGGAGAAATATTTTTGTTATCTTGAGAAATGGGCTGTGGACTATCAAAAACAAAAACCACAGAAGGTTGTAACCACATAAAAATTTCAAATGCTCGTGGCATAAGGGATACCATACAAAAAGGGAAAATAATTTGGAAAGGATAGTTGTGTAAGTCTATTTGTAAAGACCATTCCCCATGACTGCCTAAATGAACAAGAAAATTAAAGAGAGAAGAAAAACCATCCTGGGTGAAACAGAGGTTGGATAGAGTGCCGTATCAATATTCACTAAGAAACATTTGTTCAGACATGATAGAATGATCACATTGCATGTGCAGAATGGAGGAAGTCATGGATCTGATAAATAGAGAAAAAATTGATTATCATGGCAAAAATGTTGCTCTATTGAGTATGCTTCCCAGAGCTCCTTTTATATCTTTATTCCTCAGACTGTAAATGAAAGGATTCAGCATGGAAGTGACCAGAGTGTACAATATAGCCACAGTGACATCTTTGTCTTTGGAGTTGTTAGATGAGGGGAAAAAGTACAGTCCAATAATTGTTCCATAGTACAGAGACACCACGGATAGATGAGAGCCACATGTAGACAAGGCTTTACAGAGTCCTTTGGCTGAGGGCACTCTGAGGATGGTGGCCCCAATGTGGCTGTAAGAGACCAGGATGCATATCAATGGCAGGGTAATGACCGTCACTCCCACAGTGAGGATACACAGCTCATTGACTGTGATGTCTGAGCTGGACAGCTTAAGTAAGGTGGAAAGGTCACAGAAGAAGTGGGGGAGGATGTTGTCTCCACAGAAAGAGAGACTGGCTAGGAGCAGGGTGTGCAAAAGGGCATTGGCAGAGGATAGGACCCAAGACACAATTACTAGCAGGAGACACAGTCTCTGACTCATAATGGTAATGTAGTGGAGGGGGTGACAGATGGCCACATACCTGTCATAGGCCATTGAAGTGAGAAGGAAGCTGTCAAGACACCCAAGCATCAAGAAAAAATACACCTGGGAAATGCACCCAGCGTATGAGATAGATGGATTTTGTGTCTCCATATTCATGAGCATCTTTGGAGCTGTGACTGAAGAAAAAGAGATGTCAGTGAGGGCCAAGTGGCTGAGGAAGAAGTACATGGGGGTGTGGAGGCGAGAGTCCAGCCTGATGAGCAGGACGATGAGCAGGTTCCCCAGCACCGTGGTCAGGTACATGCCCAGGAACAGGGTGAAGAACACGCCCTGCTGCTCTGGCCGGATGGGGAGCCCCAGGAGGAGGAAATGGGATGCGCTGCTCTGGTTCTCCCTCCTCATGCTCTTCTTTTGCTGGAGATGAAAAGAGATGTGGAAATATCAAAGAATGAGAAATCATTTCAACTATCACATCATAAAAACAGCATTTTGTAGTAGCCAGAATGTGCATTTTTAACCTGAATATCTCATGCTTTTTGCCCCAACAATGAGCTGCTGATTATCAGATCAGACCTGGTGCAAACTTGAGAAGTCCTGGAATACATGACAGAAATCTGAGATCAGGAAATTAGGGTGCAAGGCTAGGTCAGCTGCCAGTTATTAGAAAGACTAGTAGAGGCTCTCCAACATCTGCTGGCTGTCTTAACCTTTCTTTTGCCTTTTACGTACTTTTTGGCTAATGCTTATTTCCATGGATTATATCAAGGAAAGAAAACCCAGTGAACTGTTCTGGATTTGAAAATTTGGTGGAAACATCACGTGTAGCTGGTCCAGGCAAGCATATTAAGGACAAGAATATGTCAATAATGTAATACTTTGTAATTAGTCATCAGTCTTTCCATTAGGAGAATTCCTTCCCACTCCTCAACATGGTCAGTCTACCATCTCTTTCTAAAGGAATTTTCATGGAATGTGGATAAAAAGTCTGTTTCTCTTCCCAATTCCCACCTCACGTATTCCCTCGATTCAAACCAGATTACTCTTAATCAACTCCTCAGAACACCAGAAAATACTTTGATTTTTCCAGTCACACCCTGGATCTGCCAAAGAAAATGTTGTTAGTGTCTGTCTCATAGTTTACCAAATAATATCTTCTCTGTTTTTATGATTTCCAAAATTGGTCTTCCGCAGTACTCATAATGGTAATGTAGTGGAGGGGGTGACAGATGGCCACATACCTGTCATAGGCCATTGAAGTGAGAAGGAAGCTGTCAAGACACCCAAGCATTAAGAAAAAATACACCTGGGAAATGCACCCAGCATATGAGATGGATTGATTCTGTGTATGCATATTCATGAGCATCTTTGGAGCTGTGACAGAGGAAAAAGAGATGTCAGTGAGGGCCAAGTGGCTGAGGAAGAAGTACATGGGGGTGTGGAGGCGAGAGTCCAGCCTGATGAGCAGGACGATGAGCAGGTTCCCCAGCACCGTGGTCAGGTACATGCCCAGGAACAGGGTGAAGAACACACCCCGCTGCTCTGGCCTGATGGGGAGCCCCAGGAGGAGGAACTGGGACACGCTGCTCTGATTATCCCTCCTCATGCTCTTCTTTTGCTGGAGATGAAAAGAGATGTGGAAATATCAAAGAATGAGAAATCATTTCAACTATCACATCATAAAAACAGCATTTTGTAGTAGCCAGAATGTGCATTTTTAACCTGAATATCTCATGCTTTTTGCCCCAACAATGAGCTGCTGATTATCAGATCAGACCTGGTGCAAACTTGAGAAGTCCTGGAATACATGACAGAAATCTGAGATCAGGAAATTAGGGTGCAAGGCTAGGTCAGTTAGCAGTTATTAGAAGGACTAGTAGAGGCTCTCCAACATCTGCTGGCTGTCTTAACCTTTCTTTTGCCTTTTACGTACTTTTTGGCTAATGCTTATTTCCATGGATTATATCAAGGAAAGAAAACCCAGTGAACTGTTCTGGATTTGAAAATTTGGTGGAAACATCACGTGTAGCTGGTCCAGGCAAGCATATTAAGGACAAGAATATGTCAATAATGTAATACTTTGTAATTAGTCATCAGTCTTTCCATTAGGAGAATTCCTTCCCACTCCTCAACATGGTCAGTCTACCATCTCTTTCTAAAGGAATTTTCATGGAATGTGGATAAAAAGTCTGTTTCTCTTCCCAATTCCCACCTTACGTATTCTCTTGATTCAAACCAGATTACTCTTAATCAACTCCTCAGAACACCAGAAAATACTTTGATTTTTCCAGTCACACCCTGGATCTGCCAAAGAAAATGTTGTTAGTGTCTGTCTAGCATAGTTTACCAAATAATATCTTCTCTGTTTTTATGATTTCCAACATTGGTCTTCCGCAGTGATTCTTAACTGATATTTTTCTTGTTCTATTTCTAATATGTCTTATACTTTGCTAATACTATCATTTCTCTCTCTTTCTTCTTCAGGTCAGTTAGTCTTAGACCTGCCCATATGAACACTTACAAAATAACGGGGAAAGAGAACATGATGGGATGTCTACTAAAAAATGGAATTCATGTTCTGTGTAAAAACATTCAATATGAATGTCATTCTCTCAGAGCTGGAGAGGTATCGCACTATAGGACACATCTTGGGGGTTGACTACAGATTACATTATTACATAGTTAAACAGATTACATTATTATATAATTCTCCCAGCGTGACTGAAATCATCTCTAAAACTCCTACATTCTTCAGCCCACTACATTAAAGTCCTGTTAACTTATACTGCTGGGCCGAGCCTGTGGCGCACTCGGGAGAGTGCCGCGCTGGGAGTGCAGCAGTGCTCCCTCCGCGGGTTCGGATCCTATATAGGGATGGCCGGTGCGCTCACTGGCTGAGCGCGGTGCGGGCAACACCACACCAAGGGCTGCAATCCCCTTTCCAGTCACGAAAAAGACCAAAGAAAAAAAAAAAACTTAATACTGTTACCTAAGACAAATTACACATTCAGCTTAGCTAGTCATTACCATATTAATAATAATTACCTTATTATAATGGAATACTAATTATCTGTGTAATGAACATTCAGGTTGGTTCTAATACTTTGCTATTTCCAGCAATACTACAAGAAATAACATTGATCCTATGTCATTTTGCACTTTAACATATGTGTGTGTGTATAGAGAGAGACAGATAAGTGGATGATAAATTCCTAGAAATAAAACTGGAGGATTAGTACTATCACAGTTTTGATTGACATTGTCAAATTACTAAAGGCTAATGTGGTGAGAAAGCCTGTTTATTTATTTATTTATTTANAAAATTTGGATAGACAATCAGTTCCAGATAAATTATTCTACATGGAGCTGTCTGTAATAGGCTGGTGTGAGGAGGGGTCGATTCATGCGAGGGGTCAGCAGCACACACTGGACACACACAAGCACTTAAACATGCAAACACATGCAATCACACTCCTGAGTGTAAATTCTGCTTCTGCTGTACATGGACCCTTAGGTGATGAGCACAGATACCTTCAGCTACAAGGCATGGAAGGGTTCTCCCATTTTTCTCTAGAAAACACAGAAGACACTGAAGCAGATGGAGTCTCTGAAGGTCTCAAAGATGCACTGCAAAGTCCCTGATGGTCTAGTGCTCCCTGGTGGTCTAGTGGCTAGGATCAAAGATGTACTGCAACAGGCAGAAGAGTTATCAGTTCAAAACCAAACAAGATATAGATGTATCGACACACACTCGTTCACAGCTCCTGAGAAGTGGGCAAGGTTCGAACTTTAAAAACCAGGAAGAGGACTTGGGCNATCTATTGTACAACATGGTGACTATAGTTAATGACAATATATTGTATTTTGAAAAAATGCTAAGAAAGTGGAAGCCTATTCTTACGCATTTTTAAAAATGAGTCCCACATATGACAGCCTGTCATGTGAAGATTATAAAAATGGGCATTCTAGTTAAATGTTTAAAGAGGATAGGGCTAGGGTTTAGAGGAACAGAGAAAATTTAGGAGTATGGCCAGTGTGGGAAATTTGTAGGGTTGATGAATTATCTAGGAGCCAGATTATGTAAGGCCTTTTCTGAAATAATACAAAGTTTTGATTCTATTCTCAGAGTGATAGAACACCCAAGAAAAGGTTTAAGTAGAATAGTGACTAAAATTTTTAAAACAGCTTTCTGTCTACTGGGTGAAGAACAGATTATACTGAGGCAATTATGACAGCAGGAATCGGAACAGAAGGCCATAGCCGTAGTTCAGGTTCAAAATAATACCTGCTTACACCTGGACTGTGGCAGAAAAGATGAAGATAATTACAGAGATTTGGGATAAAATTTGTAGTAAAGACCAACAACACTTAGTGGAGGGTGAACAATAAGCAAGAGGAAGCATTTTTACCCATATCCTCTCAAAAATTAGAGGATCAATTTGAAATAAACTACATGGAGATACATTTTTGCCATCTTCTCAAAATTTGGATAGACAATCAGTTCCAGATAAATTATTCTACATGGAGCTGTCTGTAATAGGNCTTCTATGAGAACCATTTTCATTTTTATTTTTTTTTAGATTCTCCATACAAGTGAGCTCTTGCAGTATTTGTCTTTCTGTGCCTGACTTGTTTCACTTAACATGGTGGTTTCCAGTTCCATCCATGTTGCTGCAAATGATAGGATATCATTTGTTTTTATAGCTGAATAGTATTCCATTGTGTATATACAGCACAGTTTTTTTATCCATTCATCCATTGATGGGCATTTAGATTCATTTTATCTCTTGGCTACTGGGAATAGTGTTGCAATGAACACGGGAGTGCACATGTCTTTTTGATATACTGACTTCCTTTCCTTTGAGTAGTGCGACAGCTGGGTCATAAGGTAGATCTATTTTTAGTTCTCTGAGAAACCTCCATACTGTTTTCCACAATGGATGTACCTATTTATATTCCTGACATCTATGTAGGAGGGTTCCCTTTTTGCCCCATTCTTGCCAGAATTTGTTATTGTCTTGCTTGATAATAGCCATTCTTTTTTTGTTAATTTTTTTTATTATTTTTATTTTGTCAATATACAATGTAGTTAGTTATTGTGTCCCATCACCAAAACCTCCCTCCCTCCTCCCTCTCCCGCCTCCCACCCAGGTGTGTCCCCTCCATTTTCTTGTTGTAAGAACTTCAAAAAAAAAAAAGTTGTGGTTGTTATATCTACCTCTCCCCCCCCCCGGTTTTTTGTTGTTGTTGTTTGTTTGTTTTTGTGTGTGTGTGTGAGAGTGTGTGTGTGAGAGTGTGTGTGTGAGTGTATGAATTGATTCATTCACCTTTAGCTCCCTCCAATAAGTGAAAACATAGGATCAAGTGGGATTCATCCCAGGGAAGCAAGGTTGTTTCAACATACG